CCCCATAGCTGTCCCTAGAATGGCATTCCTACAAGGAATGAAAGGATCAAGTGGTTCTGGCCCTACCAGCGTGGCTCAGCAGCTGAGCACCGACCTGTGATCCGGGAGATGGCGGTTGGATTCTCCGTCAGGGCACATGGCCGGGTGCAGGCTGGTTCCTCGGTAGGGGGCGTGCAGGAAGCAGCCCATCAATGACTGTCTTATCATTGATGTTTCTATTTCTCTCCATCTCCCTTCCTCTCTCTGAAATGAATAAAGATTTATTTTTTTTTAAATCAAGTGATTCTGCATTTCCCTTATTTCACTCTTACTTTAATCCTGCTTTCTTCCTTTGCTCTTTTGGTTCCCTTCTTCTGGAGCACTCCCTTCTGCCCCAGCTATTCTATTCTTTGGCCACTTTCTTCAAAACATGGCTCCATATTAATTTCTTTCAGACAGCTTTACTTGACTAAACCCACTCCTGTTTGCTCCCTGTATCTCTTGACCTCTAGTAATTCGAGTATAAATGATACATGATGTTATCATGTACTTGGTGTTTGTTTTTATAATTTTTATTTGGAAACATATTTTATAATATTTTATTTATACTACAGTTTATTATACAATCTTGTAATCTCTGATTTTTCCTTCTTATTAGCATTAATTATAGCTGTTATTATATAATGTAAATGTGTAATCAGTTGCTTAATGCCTGTCTCTTCTGTTTATAAATGTCTGTCTCCTCTTAGAATGCAACCACTTTTGGCTAATTGCATTTGGTTGTATCCACAGAGCCCAGAATAATATAAATAGTAAGTGTTGAATAAATATTATAATGTCTTTAAAATACTATTCAAGATATTAGTAGAATTTATGCTCCATAAATACTTCTTGATTTTTTTAAATGTTTTTATTGATTTCAGAGAAAGGAAGGGAGAGAGAGATAGAAACATCAATGATGAGAGAGAATCATCCATCGGCTGTCTCCTGCATGCCCCCTACAGGGGATCTCACCAGAAAACTGAACATGTTCCCTGACCCAGAATCAAACTGTGACCCGCCAGACCCTGCTGATTTTTTTTTTTAATATATCTTTTTTATTGATTTCAGAGAGAGGAAGGGAGAGGGAGAGAGAGAGATATAGACATCAATGATGAGAGAACCATTGATTGGCTGCAGCCCGCAACCCAGGCATGTGCCCTGACTGGGAATCGAACCCTGATCGCCTGGATCCTAGGTCGAAGCTCAACCGCTGAGCCACTCCCAGCTGGGCACTGCTGATTTTTTTAAACACCGTTTTGTCTCGAATCTCTCACACTTTCTATAATAGTTGGAAGGTATTTAACTGCAAGATACAGAAAACCTAATGGACTTAAACCAAAAGTCTAAAATAAACTAGCCAGTTTTGCTCAGTGGTTAGAGCATCTGCCCATGGGTCCCAGGTTCAATTCCAGCCAAGGGCTCATACCTCCGTTGCAGGCTTGATTCCCAGATGGTTGGTGCTTGTGTGGGAGGCAACCAATCGATGTCTCTCTCTCTCCCCCCCTCTCTGAAAAGCAATGGAAAAAAGTCCTTTGGTGAGGATTAAATAAATAAATAAATAAATAAATAAATAAATAAATAAATAAATAAATAAATAAAATAGACTAGCAATTTACTTAGCCATAGTCCAAAAGTGGGCATTTCTAAGTTCAGTGTTGTTACCCAGGACATACATTCTTCCCATCCTTCTCCTTAATCATCCAAAGCTTGTTCATTTTCAATCTCAGCCATAAAGTGTTACAACCCAAAGATGGTGACCACATTCTCATACTTCAAAGTACAAAGCAGAAAAGGAAGTGATGTAAAAAAATGGGGATAGCTACACACTCTTCTCAGAATCCCAGATATCCCCCAACCCCAGCAGCCTCCTTCTGGTTCCAATGGCAGGAATTGAGTTAAGTGCCTACTTTTGGACTAACCTTGGGCAGAGAGGAAAGCACTGCCATTAATGATCAATACTGATTCACCCCTTTAATTTTTTTTTCAGCAAAAAGAATAGGAAACTGCTGAGTATGCAAGCAACATTGTGCCCACTCTTCTGCTATGATATATGAACCACACTAACACTCTATTTTCTCCAGAACCTTTGAGCTCTTAAGATTCTCCAGCCCTTTTCTTTTTTCTCCTGATATTTTAATTAAGCCTTTTTCTTCAGAAAAAATATTTTCTGCTTCAAATTGCCTATAAAACATTTACTTTGTCAACCAAAAGGTTTGTTTCATTGACATTTTACATACTCACTTTCTGCATTCTAATTCTTTTTCTTTGCAAATGTACTGAGACATCACATTTTCAAAAGGGAAACACATTTTTGTCACTTCCTTTCCACTCTTCATGTATATGTCTGTTTCTGAACTGCATTAGGAACCTCAGAGGCCAAGAAAATAGCTTCTATTCTTTATATAATTGCCAGTAGCATTTCATAGGGGCTAAATGTACTTGACTTGTCCTTTCCTTTTATGGTTAATCATGGATATGGAGGATTTAACAAGAAGAAATAGGAATCAGAATTTTATAGCCAAGAAGCACTGGTCATATTGCAAACACCCTCTACTTATTTGTATATATTAAATT